GGCTTGTTTTACAACGTCGTTGCCAAGCGACGAAAACCCAACCCCGATGGTAAACACCGGAGGGGGCGAGGGGGGGGGGTCGTGAGTTGGTGAACAAAAGATAGTCGGGGAAATCTCTCTTCTTGGAGAAATCGTAATACTCATTTCGGAAGAAGCCTCTTGCAGAAATGATGCTTGCAGCAGCAGCACACGCCATGTGCCTACCTCTTGCCGACAAAGCAGGGGTGGCCTCGAGCCATGCCTGTTGTAAAGGGTCGGCACGAACTCCAAGAGAACGTATGCATGCATGCTGCTGTATGCATACGGTACAGGCGGACTTACGTGCTTCCCTTGCGAGCTTTGGTCGGGCTCGGTGCCTCAGGTCCTCCGTTCGCTGCTTCCGCCCCCTGCCCCTCCTCAGCCCGCTTTCCCAACGGCGTAGTGTTAGTCTTGGTGTCGCTCGTGCTTGCACCGCCCCCACCCTCACAGGAGAACGAGCTCCCCCCTTCGCCCGTTGCTGTCCCCGCTGCGTTTCCATCATCGCTGCCCTTGGTGGCGGAAACGACGTCTCCGCCCAAAGCCGCTCGTCGAACTGGTGCTGCCATTGGAGGATGTAAGAATTGGCAGGTAGAATAGAGCATTGATTCAATCAGCGATTCGAGTGATTGGGGTAAAAGACTACTGGCTGCGCCAAGCCGTTGAGACCATGATGTTGCCACCAGGCTATCGCCCAGCCTCACATGCCGTACCGCTAGAAATATGGTCACGAGGAGAAACCCTGTAAGCCCACCATCGTTGACATGTGTAGTTCGGCTGCGACACTGGACGAACATCCAGCATTTTCTACCACATGCTTCGTGCAACAAATACTTGCTCTACGCACTTTCCACCTGTAGCAAGTCGAATAAGGCTTGAAATTTCCACTCACAGGAGCTATTGATGGCTTGGTTTGCCCTTCTTTTTGGACGTTTAGCGGAAGCGATAGGCGTGGCAGCCGCAGAAGCTGGGGGGAACAGAAGCGCAGCAGATGGAGGGACAGGGGTCGTCAGCAATACAGCGCAATACAGCACCTAAAGAGCCTGCCCACGCTAGCGTACACTTATGGGCAAAAAACGGCACCATTTGCATCGCAGATCGACTACGGCTGAAAAGCTGTATGTAGGCTACAACGGGGGCAACCGCAGGCAGCAGTCCCTCCGAAAGGTGGTCATCTTAATCTCCACAAACACTGCTTCTTTCAGTCAACCCTGAAAACATCTGTTGCTGCCAAATTCCCGCGTCCCCTCAACGGTGTTACTGTAGAGCTCATAGGGGCACAACATCACGCAGACTAGGGGAGACATCTCCAGGTTCATATCACTAAACGTACACGGCAAGTCCCTCGCACAGCACCACGCTCCGTGTATCTGTGATGGATGTGGATGTGGACCATGACGGCTGCAAGCAGCTTGTGCGTTCGCTACGTTATTTAGGCACGCATGCAGTGCCGTTTACCGTACGCACATCACTGGAACTGTCGCTGTGTGGCATTTTTTTTTTTTTGCCTTCACTGGATTACGCTGTCGCCGACAGCCCTGGCAGGACCTTATCTCAACACACTTGCGGATTCCGGAGCAAACGGAAACACCGTTTCCACTTTTTTTTTCACCCGGCGGGCTCGCTTACTGACACACCGACACGCCATTCTTGTGTGGTACCACCTCAGTAGGAGAAGCTGGTTCAGGTTGACGATCCCTTCGCACGATCCGTAATCCGACCTCATGGGATCATTGGATATGGGTTGTAGGTTGGCGCCAGCAACCATTGTCGGATGCCAAAGTCAAAATCGTATCCATGTTTGAGCGACTAGCGAAAGCTAGCGTTGCATTACACAAGGTGCCACCCCAACAGCAGTAGTTGCATTCAGCTTCAACGTCCGTGTCAACGTCACTGCAGTCAATGAACGGAAACCGAAATTAGAAGCTCCTTCAAATACTTGGTCGTGACAAACTGCGGCAGAGATGATACTGCTCATCTTTCCAACCTTCTTCCTGAACTAATCCTATCGAGAAGATAGGAGCACAATGGACCGAGCATCGGCAGTAGGGAGTACGGCCACCACTTCGACAATCTCCAACGACGGATGTGCCTGGATACAGGCATATCTTGTTCAGAGAGATCAGAGATCCACACCAAGCAAAGAATGTATGCGGCTTCGTTTTCAGGAGGTTTTGAACAATTCAACAATAATATGGCGCCAAAGGGTAGGCCTGTCCTCCATCGGCCGTTTTATTTTCTATTTAGATACACAAACTTTATTTCTGTACTAATCTCAAGTAATTCCACCTTCTTATTCTCCGTCATACAAGCAAAACGGCCGATGGAGGACAGGCCTAGCCAAAGGGCAAAACAACACGTCAACCAAAAAGAAAATGGGAGAATATGTGTTCACCTACCTGTCTGCTGCCTTGACAAACACCCCCTGTGTTCCTACCACAAAGGGCGAACGTCACAGACTAGAGGATCTCAAAGAAACGCCGAGTGCACAGCAGAAAAAGCTGAATAGCGTCTTGGCGACACGAGGCCTCCGTCACACATGCGCTCGATCTCTCTCGCCCCACCGAACCCGCATGTACGATACCCAGGTAGGTACCCCACAACAAACGGTCAGTTTCCCAACGGGCAAACAATTTTTTGCGAGAGCGGAGATTTTGGCCAAAACTCCAAGACCACCGCTGCAACCATGATGGCACCAACTTCGGAGAATGACACCAAGACAAGGGACTACGACAAAGATTGCCCACGACTACGAAACAGGCCGTCGTGGATACCCCTCTGGACTGCAGAGGCTTTCTTTCCATTGGGCGAGGTAGAGATAAACTTTGCCATACTTTTTGGCGGGAGCGAGCTGCATGTACAACCAACCCCACGACCCACTGCTGCTGCCATCACTTTCTGAAGACAGCAGCAACACGCGCAACAACATTCCCGGGACCAACACCACCCCCAACCACCTGAACCTCTGCTTCCTTTTCTTTGGCAGCAGCGGTGGGCACAGAACAAAAAAAACGCTTGTCACTCTAATCCTCCTCCTGATGTGTGCGAATTGGTGAATTATGTAAGGCATTGAGACCTCACGCACGCAATTCGCCGTACGCGCGCGCCTCTCTCTCGGCCCCGACACGAAGGTACACACACCTGAGTAGGGTGTTGACGGCATGGTGGACCGTGTTACACTGTGTTGGACCTCTCCTTGTCCTAGTGCCGCGCTCTCTTGTTCCTTGTGATGCTCTCGTTTTTCTGCCCTGGTTGCTCTTGACTTGATCCCTGCCTTTCTGTTGCCCCTGTGATGTGGGTCTGTGTGCTGCCGGTGGGGCTCGCGGTTGTGGGCCGAAAAAGCGACCCCCTCCTCTCCTCCATCATCACAATCTGCAGTGCCTCTTGGGCGGGCGGTGCATGGGCCGCACACTCTCGCGTGTGTCGACATAATCAACACAGAGATCGGTGCCATGTTCTCTTTACCGGGGCGACAAGCTCGCCGTTCACTCGGCATGGGCGCCTCAGTATATCGCACTGTCGAACGCTACCAAACATTAGGCTATTCCAGACTGTTCGGCACGTCAGACCTGTGCGTGTTTGACGACAGTCGTCGAACTTGGGTCGAACGAGGAGAGGTAGACAAGGGTACTGCGCAGAAGCCGGCGGCAGGAGGTCAGATGTGGAGATGGACAAGCCCAACAGGAACATGGGAGGGGTCTTCCTTACCGATTAAAGTTTATGAGGCTGTGCAAGGTAGGTGTTCTGCAACTATGGGGGGTGTTGCCTAGTGTTTACGGCGACCGTGGCTGTTACGGGCGTTCAGTTCAAAGCCTGCGCCCCCCCGCGTTCTCAAGTACCTGCTCTCAAGGTGCTGTAGGAACAAAAGTGCGATGTCGTTCGTTGTTTTTTGGCTTGTTGGCAACGAGGTGTAGATGTTACTCTCTTCCTAACCTGGTTTGCTAACAAATCCTGCCCTGCTGCAAGTACGGGACATGATCTGTCACACAACGAGTTGTTAGCCAAAGGTGTGCGGCATTCACATCCTGGATGGTGTCGGATGAATGTCAGAGGCGTCAACCTATTCGATGATCATGCGCAAGCAGTTGCAACCTGTTGCCCTGAACCTATGGGGTGCTACAATAGTATACGCGTCTATGGAGCCTGAAGATTTGGTGAGCGACCTCCAGTACAATTCGTCACGGAATGTTTTCTTGTTCGGTGGGCGTCAACGTTGACGTTTGTATCTACAGCAGGTATAGGGTACGGTCGCGAGTCTCGAATTGGCCATCAAACAAGGGTGCGATTGCCAAGAGTTTGATACTTCAGATGGTCCTGAAAAACATGTTGGACTTCGATTGCGAGAAAACATAACATGTTTCACACGTCCCTGAGTGACTCTGTTTTTATCTTGCAGATACTATTGGAATATGCACATGCTGACTACGTGTCATTCTCACGTTTCCACTCGGTTTGTGCGCCCACTCGTTCTGTGTTACCTCTGCCCCATGGCAGTGGTGCGCTCTAATTTGGAGAACAAAACTGTCCAGTTCATGTTTGGGCACAGGGGTCACCTGCTGTTGTAGACGCTAGCGTGCGACGAAAAAATGAAAAACTATCACCCACTACCGGAGCTTCGCTTGCAGTCGTTGTACCGCGGAGGATTTTCCTGATATGTAGATCATTATGCGAAGGTTTGTGCTGTGAGGTGCCTGAGCCTCCGCCATTGCACGTTGGTTCTCGCTTTCCTCGATGGCGGTCCTTGCTCAGCACATTTTCACGTATTTTCGCCAATCGAGTCGCGTTTATCGTACTGTTTCCATGCCTTGGATTGCTCTTCGCAGGACTAAAGCAAGCGACCGCAGGTCTGTTGCAGCATTGGGCTTCCCCACTAGCCCTTTCCGGAGCATTCCCGTTCGTCTTGCCGGGAGTTGGACGACCGGCATTGTTGCCACAGTCGCCAGAGCATGACCAGGGGTGCGAGGAGGATGAGGACGAGGAGGAAGAAGGGGTAGATTTGATTGGGGGGTTATCCGAAGGGGGCGTTTGGGCCACTAGCGTGAAGCGGAAGCGCGTTACGAAGATGAGGAAGCACAAGTGGAGGAAAAGGCGGAAGCTCCAGCGCCAATCGGCGTCTCGGAACAAGTAGCTAGGTTGCGGGGGTTACATGTTTGCGCTCCTGCCCTCCGTGGGCTGTGGACCTTGCTTTATTGTCCTCTCGTCTCGGTGATCTGGACTGAGCCGTACTACGAATGTGGCAGCTTGCAGTGTACCGCTGCCAGTAGACCGTGAGATGTGCCGGGGTAGGACAGCTACGCGAGCGCGCCTATGCTTCCCGCGCAAGCCAGCACTCTCGCACATACTGTAAGTCTTGGTTCTTTGAGAGCTAAGCTTCGTCCACCGCGTAGGCGTTCTCGAGTGTTTCTCGTACAGAGTTGCGTGTTATGTCCACGGCTTTTGATATGGGAAGCAGACAAAACTGAAACGTTTTTGAAAGATTCATGGGACATGCTCCACAGGGTGCAACAGGAAGTAAATAAAGGCGGAGGTACCCTCTCTGTCGCGGCAACCAGGCAGGCATAACGCAACACCTTGTCGTTCTATCCAAGCCCCTCGTGTACTCCCCCATAGCGCCTGTTGTGTACAAGCGCGCAAAGATCGATGTCCCTTGCGGTACTTAAAGTATCGTCAGCCTGCCGAATGTGAAACGTTGGTTGGCCGGGATGCCCAACCAACCCATGGCATAATGTCTGGTTTGGCACAGCAAACGCAAGGATGATGGCCAGCTTTTCCTCCGGTTCATCCTTGTGGGACGTCGCGCGGGCCGGCGAAAACCCGGCATATTGCTCCGTCCCGGCAATGAAGGGATGAAAGGTCAATGGTCTAACGAATATGGCATGCGTTTATGCACATATCCGCCCACAAACCGGCCAAAGAGCTTGACAAAACTTGATTTGCCCTCGGGGGGGTTGTTTTTCCCGCGACCACAACGGACATCCCATCTCTGTTTACCGCCGAAATGGTATATTTCCAGCTCTAAAAAGTTCATGAAAGTTTAAGCATCACGACGCACAAAAACATGCACCTTGGGATATGCTACAGCTCTTGTGCGTTCGGCACCACGGGTGCGTTATGGTGTGTGAAACACAAGAGTGCCGTCGCCAGTGGACCTGTTTTGAGTTCGTGTTGCGGGTGTTGTTTTTTGTTGTCTCGCAATGAATCGTTAACGCTTGCGTCACGTCACATCCGGCACCACGGAACGCCCTCGTGAAAGTTGTTACGTTTTTGGTGGCATCCATTTCTTCTTGGGTCAGGTTATGCCCAGATTCCACTCATCCGTCGCAGCATGAACAGCAAGCAGTGAGTGGTTGCGAGTAACTTCGTTGAAGACGGGTATTTTCTTTATTTGTTGGAGAGGCAGCACCGGAACTGGATGAGCATCCCCATGTGCTACTCTCGTCCCTTTCCTCCTGGATCCTTCATTGTACCAGGTATCTAGATCTCTTCCATAGTGAAATCATGGAAGAATCGAATAACAGTACATAAATCTAAATATCATCGACACATGCGAAGTGTGTGGAAAACCAAAACGTGCCATCTCCGGCACCCTGCCGCGGGATTCTTCACGTCGTTAACCTCAAAAACGAAGCAACCGTAGCATCAACGTCGTGCTGCAAAACCATCGAGATTCACGCTGAACGCAACACATACGACCTCAGGAGTACTGGGGTCAGCCCGCACCAGCCGCACGCGCAACTGTGTGGAAAACGTAAAACAAAAAATATGTTCACCTTCCGGTCCCAACAGCTCTATCTACATAGCCCGACGTACGGTACACAACCCAGTGATGCTCAATGTGACCGTGCCTTGTACCGCCGCTATCCTCACAGTTACCTGGATGAGGCACGATCTGTTCCCCACCCAAGTCTAAAAGTTTTCCGAGCGCACCCACTTTCGGAACTCAACTGACCAGGCGTGGGAGTGCACGTCGCCACTCGTGGACGACCTCAGGTGGGCCATCTCGTGCGCCAGCATGGTAGGCAGATCCTCCTCCGCCCACTCATGGACGGTTTTCGACGAAGACAAGTTAATAAAAATCCGGCCATTGTGTCCAACAAAACCGCGCAGAGCGTCGGGTTTGTCCCAGCAGAAAAAACTTATGTCCACTCCCTGCTGCTTCACTGCCGACTCGAGCACCCTACTCGCGGGCTCGCTTGCTAACACCGCCCAAAACCTCTCCGACGCGTTCTCCCCGTTCTGCTTGCAGCCAACTATCCTGTACAGGTCGACAGCCTTGCCCTCGTCGCCGATTTCGGCGTGCAAGACATGGGAGAGGGCGGGCACAATCATTGTTCCAACCAGGAAAGCTCCAAGCTCTTCGCCTTTCCTTGCCAGCGGCACGATCGGTGCAGCCCCCTCTCCAAGCGCCGAGGGTAAGGGGTTCCCATCCTTCACTTCCTCAGCTTCTTGGCTCATGCCGATTCCGTCGACGAGCCCCTCGGGTTGAGCAGACCCAGGTTGCCCCAAGGCTGGCGCTGGCTCGATACCGTTGAGCTGTTGCGGTAGGGAAGACGATACAATCTCGGATGCGTTCGGCTCGAACTTGACGGATACGGTAGAAATAGCTGCCCCTGCAGCTTGTTCTCCGAGGCGGGCGGACTGCTCCAAAATCGGAGGGGTTGTACGGCTGCCGTTTTCCTCCGCCGAACCCCCTTGTTTCTGGCGCTTTGTGACGGTCTCCACTCCCGCCGAGTCTTGCTCGCGAACCACGTCGCAAGCTCTCTTCCTTGCTTGTGATCCTTGGCCAGAGTCTTCCGACGAGTCGTCGGCAGCTGCACCAGGATCCCCATCGGCCTCGTTCACCTCTAGCCCACCAACCCCATCAGATTCTTCTCCGCTTTCTTCGTTCGCCGCCGCCGCCGCCGCTGCCGATGCCGCCGCCGATGCCCCTTCCCCATCCTGCTCACCCTTGCCGACAAACTCCGGGGCCGTTGCGTCCGCTGGCGCAGGTGCTGCTCCCGTCACACTCGGTTCACCCGGCTGAGGGTTTGCTCCATTTTCCTGGGGTCCGTCGGCAAGCAGTTCACCATTCGAGGGGCTAGGCGCCTCGCTTGAAGGCGCTGCTGCTGACGCGGACATGATCAAATGGTAGACCTCAAAGGCGCGCTCGGACAGCTTTTCGAAGGAAAGCTCCCGCTCCATTGAGCACGAAATGGTGTCGAGCAGATACTTGGCGGTCTTGACGTCCTCTTGCCTTAGGTTTACGGCCAGGCTCCTGCGGGAAACAAGCACTACGTCTGCTTCCACCCACACGACGTGTCTCGTCCCTAGCTTCCCAGGGAAATCGACGGCCGCGAACTCCGTCGCCCCCGTCAAACGGAGCAGCTCCTCCCTGACTGTCGTGGCCCACCCTGACACCGAAGCGCCCTGCCCGATGCCCACCCGCGGTAAGTTGCGGACTTCATTAACAAAGTCCCTCACGAGCGCGCTTCCCTGGTCTAGGGACTGGTGACAACTCTTAATCGCTAGATCCTTGACTTCGGCGATCATCGCGCAGAGCGGCGGTTGGTGGTTCGCTAGCACTGTGCCGGGGAACATGACGAGGTTCTCGTTCTGAATGAGAGCGATCGCTTCCTCGCTCCACGTTCCCGCTCGAATGTCTCCATAGGGTGTCCACTGACCTCCTCGTGTGAGCGCCAGCACGATCCGACGTCGTACCCTGGAGCTTTTCAGTATAGCTTCGCAAACGAGCATGTTGATCACCTTTTGCGTTAGTTTCGGGTTCATCGCGCCTCTGTCTCGGCCTTGGATCAAGTCTCGCCGAGGGTCTTTGAGGTTGAACCCGAACAGGTACGCCGAACCCATCTCTGCCACCCGAAAATCGCGATTGTGCAACATGCCCCTCATCTCCTTGCCCAAAAGAACGGTGCCGTGCACGGTGCTCACGCCGTCCTCGCTCGGGGATAAGAACACGGACATGGGGTCCAGCAGGTCGGGGTCGATGTTGTCAGGGGGGAGATCCGGCGGAAACGTCAGGGTGACATCTACCCGGCGCTCGGTCTGCTTGTTCATGCTGTGCTGCATGTAGGAGTTCCCGTCCGTCGCCAGGACGGCCGTGGTCGTGAAGCCGGCGGTTGTGACCACCACATTGATAGCCAAGCGAACCAACAGGTCCATCGCAGACGTCAGTCCATCGCCGAATTTTCCGATGCATTCGAGATTGTTCGCCTTCTCTGCACCAGACACACCTCTGAGGAAGCAATGAGGCTCAATGCCCGACCCGTGGTTAATGAACTTGAGAACCCACGTTAAGCAGTTGCGGTCGACATCTTCTGGCTTGTATTTATTGGGCTTGAGCGCGTACGACCGGACATACTTCGTTCGGGCCTCCTTGAAAATAATTTCAGCCAGCTTGGTGCTTCTTGCGAAGAACACGGTGTGTAATTCGCCGGCTTCGTTCCGTGTGGTCTGCGGGGGCTCCAGCGGCGGTGTGTCGTGAGGAAACTCTTCCTTCAACGTGGTTCTCACTTGGTCGATGAGGTTGGTCATAAGCTCGCTACAAGCTTTCATGGCGTGCCAGTTTTGCATCGAGTTCGGCCCGCTGATGTGCTGGGGGTGCATGGCGGATGGCTTCGGAACCTTGATTTGTTTCACAGGGCTCCTCATCGGCTTTGTCAACTTCAATCTCCTCCGCCTTGCCGCTGGTTTGTTCATCTGCAAGAACAATACGTGGAACAGTTTCGAGTCCGTGGCGACGAAAACAACCGCTGTTGACCTTCGTTAACATGCTGAGTGAGGTTCCTCCAAACTGCTGTGCGGCTGGTCCTACGAATTGTAGCTCAACATGCGGCAAAATACATTCTCTGGTAGGGATCAACGCGAGCATGCACCGTACCTCTTTCTCTGTGCCCATTGAAGGGCGTGAAGACTCCTCGCTGGCATCGATGACATCTTCGGCCTGCGAAACGACCATATGAGAACAAGAAGAGACGAGCACGAACGTGGGAATGAAAACGTTGATCGATTGTGATAAGTAGCGAAACCACGAAGACAAGGACTACAGCAGCAGGCGCTGGCCACGGAGGTTCTTCACTCGCAAAATATCACAACCATGTGCGAAATGAAGAGATGGTGGTCAGCATGCATTCGTGGCATACAGCAAACGTGGGTGAAACTACCACTGCGCGAGGACGCATCAAGGCTTTCAGTGGATCCAAGTCAACAACAACCGATGCTGTCACAACGAGCGCTTCGTCTGCACGAAACGAACGCACGGAAGACCCAATTTATCCAAAGGCACACTGCTGTACCAGGCGCAACCCGCACTCTGGAAGCAAATCGCTCCATTGGACAAGGCCAGGTCGTCTCCGTTTGGGCAAACAAGACACACCTGGAAGACGAAAAGGTGGCCGTCTGGCTTGATGAACCCCTTGAGCGCAAGGTGCCCATGCTTGGTCTTCGAGAAGCCGGACAACGCGTACCAACCGCCTTCGAATTCCGTCCAGCCTAGCTTGACTTCCTCGTTCTCCCTGCCACGCGTGACAGAAAGTTAGTCGAGATGTAGGAAGGGAGGGAGAGGTGAGACTTGTGTGACATGTGGGCGCATCTTCCGGTTTGCATGAGTGTCTACGAACAGGGAATGAAAGGGCAACAACTTCACAAGAGGGTCTTTGTCTGGCCACCTAGACCGGACACCATGCGTGAAGAACAAGGCCGCAAAGGTTGGATAAGTGTCTTGGTGAGACATGTCGCACAACACTCAAATCAAGCATTGTTGCACTCTCGACGTCTACAGTCCACCGGTTCACCTGCGGGCCACCTCGACCCCAGGACGATCCCAATCGATACAGAGGTGAAAATTACTCCGAACCGGGCGCTTCCGTTTGTCCTTAGAGATCCCCTCTCCATCTTCCTCCCAGTCACTTTCACTATCGCTCTCCGCATATTCTTCGTCGTCGTCGTCGTCGTCGTCGTCCTCCTCCTCCTCCTCCTCCTCCTCCTCGTCGTCCTCCTCCTTCTCGTCCTTGTGCTCCTCCCGCGTTTCCATTCTTCGACTCCTTTCCGCGTGCGAATCCTTGCACGCTCGTCTTCTCACGCCCCTCTCCCTCCCGGTCCCTACCGCACGACCTTGTTCAGCCTTCAGGGGCAACAACCGCTCCTCGTGCTCATGTATCTCATATTCAGCCTGAAAGCGGCACCGTCGCACAAGGTGAACGCGGTTGCAAAATGTCGTCAACAATAATACTACAGCGAGGTTGTTCATGAGTGTGGAGTCCAACGTGTGGAGTGTAGGTTTCGTGTTCAATGGTGTTCGAGACGAAGACACCGAGGCTCCCTCTTGTATTCCGCATTTATGCAACACAATAATATCAAAGGCTGCGAAAGACAAGGAAGTGGTTGAAAGCCGCAGAGGTCTGGACAAGACCTGGCTTTGCTTGACCAAAGCGAGCCTTGTTTCAACATGCGGCATCGACGAAAGACGAAGAAAAATTATGGACAGCAGCGTTGACGAGACATGCGAGGCTGGACGAGATGGGCGATTACGAAGCTGACGATACCTGACGGAGACCTCGGCAACCGAAACATGTTTGGAAGGCTAATGCATGCGTGCAACTGCTGTTTTGCTTACGCTGATATCAACCACGGCGGTGCGGCAAGTGAAAGTACGGTAGGGCGAGAGGCCGAGTACACCTCTCTGTCAGGAGGCGATAAAAAGGACTGCGATGCTGATGAAGGTAACCCAGAAGATGTGCGAAGATGTAGCAAAGGGTGTTTCCCTACCTCCAGTCCGCGGTGGAGAGAATTAAAAAAGGGGGAGTTGCTGGAGGATTCGGACCTTGTCCCGAACCGAAGGGGGGCTAAGATCCCGCACGGAGATGGGGGTAACGGGTTGGGGTATTTCTTCCAAGCGGTCGGCAATGCTTGGTCATCTTGTGTTGCCCAGGCGTTTCTACCCATGGACAAATGGGTCTAGAGTACGCACTACCCGGACGGGTTACACAATGCTGAGCACCAACGGCCGGCCGGCTAGGGTGTACCGAAAACTTTTTAGACGGAGGTCACTGCAAGGGGGTACTGCTGTAGCGTGAGCCTTGGTTTCGTAGGTGGTATTGGGTAGTACAGTATTCGCAACAGCTCTGCAAGAAGCGCGATCTTTCGGTTCCCGCACTTTTCCAGTGTTGAAGAAATAGAAAACCGTAAACGTGCGAGCGGACGCCTAAGGTGTAGCATACGATCGAACCTTGAATAATTTTATAACTCTTTGCGCTATTTGACTCCGACCTGTGGGATCGCCCCCCGAACCCTTGCGGAAACTGAAGTTCAAATCGTTTGGTCAGCTGTTCTAACACTGCACCTCCGTGTGACGACTCCTATTCGTGTGATGCTGAAGAAAGCTCATCGGTACGTACCAACCCGATCTGACAATGAGGTCGTTGTGGTCAAAATTGCTTCGCTCTTGAGATGGATGGCTTAGTGGGTAAGAGTCGTTGGAAGTCGACGGAGATGTGATGCCCTGAAGTATCAAGAATGCATGCTTTCGTTGGTGTTCCTCTTCGTGCGGGGTGACCTCCCTATTTTCTCTCGATCGCGATGAGTGCCTGGTCCTGGTCCATTTCCTACGGATCAAGTAGCTATCAATGTTTGCTGTAGGTCGTACGCATAGCAAAATCTATCGACTACAGCAGTACCGTGGCAGTACAAGTACGGGGTACGGGGAGTAAAATATACAAGTAAATTGGTTCCTCGGATGGAGGAATGATGTCATTGCTGCACTGCGGAACCATCGGAAATTTGAGGGTCAAACTTGCGGTCTCGCGAAGAGGTTAGTGACTGCTCAAGTGCTCGCATTGAAAGCTGAAGGTAAGCTCGGCAGGGGGAACCGCAACGGAGGGGGGGGGG